GGTTTCTGTTACTTTTATCCATACATCATCAACTAGGAAAGAGCTGGCCCCATTGTAAGGTCAAGCCAGACTGGGAAAGACAGTCATCCTTTATGCTCAGGAAGGGAGAATAAAATTCGTAAGCATTTAACCAGTCACCACAATACATAGTTCTCATTTCTATTGCCAGTATATCTTTTCACATTATTTCACTCTCATTCTTTGAGTCCTTATATTTTAGGTATTACTCTTGTAAATATTACATCATTTAATTTTAAAAATCTGATCTGACGATCTCTGTCATTAAAATTGAAGCTTTAGTCTTTTACATTTAACATGATGATTTCTAAAATTTTTCTGTTTTCCTGAAGTTCCCCCTATTCTTTGTTTCAGTTTTATTGTCTTAAGATCGAGTTTCCTTTATCTTTTTTCTACTGCTCTACTGATTTAGAAGCTATATATTCTTTCTCTATTTTTCATAATATTTCTATGCTCTCACTGACATGATTTCTTAAAACGTTAGAATCAAAAATATCTGTGTTAAATTTTACAGTCCAGTGATTTAATTGTCGCTATTTAAAAACTCACAAATTAGTAATTATTATCTCTATTTTACCATAAAATCAATACTTGCTTAGATATAAATACTTAGCAATTTTCTTTCTTTTTTCCTTTTTTTTTTTGCTCATTTCTTTTTGCATCTTAATCTTTACTTTTATTATCAAGTTTCTTCCTGAAGTATGTTTTTTTAGAGGTTCTTTCTTTATTGGCCTATTAATTCTGTAGTCTAAGTTTTTGTTTGTCTAAACATGTATTCTATTTCACTCTTTTTACTGTATGATAGTTTACTTATATCTAAATGGTGTAAATAATGGCTAAAATGTATAAAAGATAAATGGACAAAGTAATGGTGAATACAGAAAAGTCTAGGTAAGCTTTGAAGTGTTACATTCCTTAAATATTTTAAAATATGAATTATTTTAGAGTTTATATGACTAAAATAATAGAATTACTATTGAGTTTTCCTTTGGTAAATGTAATCTATCCAGAATGTGGTATCAAGAGCTAGAATCAAATAAACATGCTTTTTTTTCTTTCTTAAGGTATTTGAAAAAAATTACCAAAATATAAATGAACCTCAACCATAATTAGTATTTCTTATCCTGCCATCAAATTCTTAGCAAAGATATTCTGTTAATTTTCTCTTCACATGCCCTTTAGACATGAAATTGTCATGCAACACAAAAAATAAATGGCATCATGTATTAGGATAAACCTCAGACTTTCAAGAATGTGGTTTAGAATTAAGGGCTTGAATGTTCTTTTTAGACTATAGCTCTGAGTTAATAATTATTAAAATTATTTTGTTATCTTATACCTATTAGTTTTTCAAGGCCTTTATACATTGTAATAGAGTCTGTTATTTTTTCCTACCCCCCAAAACTGTATTTTCCTCATTTATAGAGCTTTCTTATTTAAGAAGTTCAAGGAATAGTCAAGCAGGCAAGAAAACTGATAAAGCAAATTTGTCAATGTCTGAAGAATTAGCTCTCTCAAAGATGATCAAAGATGTCTAGCCTTGGAAAAAAAAACCTTGAGTCAGAATTATGCTAAGCTGAAATGATCTAAATTTCATATCAAATTGTTTTTTCTCAATTCAGAAACATTTTTATGAGGCCATCCATCTTAAAGAC